CATTGTTTCCTCCTTGTATGTGGTACGGCTGCGATCATGCCTGGTCCAGCCGGCCTCGATCATATCACAAAATGTACCCCTCAACGCGTAGTGATCCGCAGCAACATGTCACAACCCATTCTCTTCGCCAACGATGGAGATCACATACCGAAGGTTCAAGAACGACTTTCGTCTCTTCACGAACTGTGCCCAACGAGTTTTTGAGTTGCTCCACCCTTGGAAACCTCAAGGTGGGTAACGATACCGGATTAAGGCGAGTCAGGTGAGGTAGACTTCGTGGATGGCCTGGCATATCCTTGGATTTCATCGCAGCGGGTGCGAACTGTGTCATTTTTGATGAAGTCGGTGAACTTCACTCAACAAATGGTTTTCGAGAATTGGTGTTCAAGTACCTCCGGTGTTTGCTCATCTTACATGTGATCAGTCCAGCATTTATGAACACGTCTAAGGACTGGCCGGGTGGAGTCATAGTGCACACGAATCTTACTAGCGATGGAAATGTCGTGTCTAATCCCTAGGCACTTTCCAAGGCTTGAGAAGACTCGGCGATGAGCATCGATTCGGGAGACAATGTCGTCCTTACTCTGTCCATCCGACAACAACATCGCCCGAAACTGTCTACTTCTTTAAGTTGAAAGCCATTAATCTTGAGGGGTGCCTTCTCTTGGACAGGAATACAGCATCCGTCCACTGTGGTCTTCCCAGCGTGTATGAACAAACCGACCGATTTAGCAACCTCGTTTACACGTGATAGCATAGACTTAAATCACCAAAGCATGACGCTAGTAAGGCATTATCGTCGGCATAGTCGGGATCAGTTAACCTGCATCCGCTTGGAAGCTCAGTATCGTCATCTTCACATAGGGCTTTGCAGAGAATCCAGTCAATGGCGTGGTTAAATAAATGGGCGACAGGACACAGCCTTGTCAAACACCAGACCGAATAGCGAAGGATTCTAAAATATTTTTTGCATGGAACAGAATATGCGCGCTGGTGGAGCGATTATAGCGAAAATTTTTGGTAGTACACTGTAGGGGTCTAAGTTGGGGGTGTGCCTAGATCACTACAATCATCAGGCCGAATCCCAGGTTGGAAGTTAAAATGCAGAAGTCACCAGAAGGAGTGGTTTATTGTGTACAGAACTTCATATTTCTGTCACAGATGGCAGTGGCCATTGGTGAAGCCAGAGCTAGTGTTGACTGCGTCCAGCCAGACCTGAGAGTGTCGACTGTGTGTTGTGTGTGGTGATGACAGTTGCTTTTACATGACTGTGATGCGAGTTAAAGTGTTCTGTCATTGGTGTGTGCAATTGTCCGAGCGGCTGTCGTCTGTAGAGGTCTTTGCTGCATCGGCCGAGAGGTAGTGTATTCAAGTAGCACTTAGGCAGGCACGTGTACACGCGGGCGTGTGCGCACGTGTGTACGGGACTGAGTAAGCTGAGGTCAACTGTAGGGACCGCCGGAAAGCCGGAGGACAGGGGGAGCTAGCGCAGCTGTTATCAGTTAGCCAGAAACAGCTGTGAGGTCAAGCTTCGGGGGCGGGGGCGCCCGTGAAAGAAAGCATTGGGACAGTTGTTTGTGACGACGCATAACTTTGGGGTTTTGGACAACGAAGGGGGGATAGGCATTGTGGCTGTTCGCCACAACACCATCTAATGCCTTTATCCGACATAGGGATTCGCAATGCCCGGCAAAGTCGAACGCAGCGGCAAAGTCAACAAAGCAGACAAAAGTTGGTTTATGGTAGCTATGGCGGAATCCAAGGATCCGTCTCAGTGTGAGTATCTGGCTCACGCACCCACGCGTTGTGCAAAATCGGGCTTAATTGGACAGCGTCCGATCCATAGGTACTTTCTAAGGCCGGAGGAACATCGGCGAGCAGTATCGATTTGGGAGACAATATCGTCCTTACTCTGTCCATTCGAAAACAACCTCGTCCGAGGTATTTGAAACTGTCTACTGCTTCAAATTGATAGCCGTTTATCGTAATAAGTGCACTCTCCCGGCCATTGATGTAGCTTGAAAACACATTGGTCTTCCCTGCCTTTAACGCAGGTCCTATATCCTAGTCTGTATACCTGCGTAGCGTCCGAGTTGTGGTTGTACTTGGAACACTACAATCTTCAGGCCAAATTCCAAGAAGTAGCAAAAAGTCAGAAGGCGCCTGTGATAGATATTTATAGTATACAGAACTCTCAGTTGTTGTCTCAGATGGTAGTGGCCGCTGGCGAAGTCAGGGCTAGTCCTGACTGCGTCCAGCCAGGCCTGCGAGAGAATGAGACAGTGGTGGCAGTTGCTTAAGTAGGATTACGGAGCAGTTTCAAGTGTTCTCTAGTTGGTGCGTAGGACATTACCGGAGGGGTGGCGTAGGCTGTATCAGCCGAGTGTGGGGGTAAGGTAGATGTCCGCGACTACGTGGACCCAAATGTATGTGTCCGAATGGACGTCGCTCAAGCGTCTGCAGGTCGGCGCGTCTGGGAGCGCTGACTGAGCTAGTAGATGACCTTGACGCAGTTGTCCTTGAACGAGAAAGCCGGACACAGCATTGCTAGGCGCCGGCTACATCTGCCACCAACCACGGTGTCCTGTTTTTTTAACTATTCTTATTTTTCTTTCCCCCTTTTAGAAGGTGCAGACGCCGTCAAAAAGGCCCATGAGAAGGCGTACTGGGAGGCGAATGACTACTACTCCTCCGATGAGGATCCCTTCTTGGATCGAACTGGCCAGTTGGAACAGCGTCGACGCAAGCGGATGCGCCGGCTCGGAGCGCCTAATGCGCCCATTGAGACGCCCTCGGACGCTGAGAAAGCAGCCCGTGCCGAGGCTGATCTCTCTTCTATGTCTGTCGTAAGGACTGCCTGTGCTTACTTGCTCCTCCTCATCCAATATATTGTCCTTCTGCCTATATAATTAGCCGCCGGCAGGGAACTATAGAGTGGTGCTTGGAAGGCCAATATGTACAATAACCGCTTACTTACAAATTTTAAGTGGGTGTGAATTTCCACAATCTTCCAAATTTTCGCGCGCCCGCCGTTGGTCCAGTAGGAATTGGTGCTGATATTTAACTGTAGAGGGGTCCTCGGAAAGCCAACATGTACAATAACCGCTGAAGTCAGCTTATTAGGCAACTGAATTTTCAAATTAACCATGGGAATAACCGCTTACTTACCGATTTGAAGTAGGGTGAATTTCCGCAGTCTTCCAATTTTCGATCGCCCACCTTTAATCCAGTTGGGGTTTGTGATGCTATTAAAAAATGTACCTTAATGGCCTCGCCCAAGGTCATCAACCACTCCCCAACAAACATGTGCTCGCCGTTGGTCCAGCGGGTGATAGTGATGATATTAAAATGTACCTCAGTGTCCTCGCCCAAGGTCGGCGAACACCCCCCACCCCCAACTTACATGTGTACATTTCTTAATTTACGTGATGATTGCGCTCTGATTTGTCCCCATGTATGCCCCACCCATTCTACCTCCTAAATCAGGTGCCCGTATTGGCGTGGAGCGCGCTTCGCGACCACTGTGGGGACCCCACGATAGTTCCTTACCTCAATCGCCTTCCGGCGTGGCTCAAGGGGGAGCCGCAAAGGCACCAGGGTGGACGAATGTGTCCTGCAACTGACCGGCGTGCGCATATCTGCCACTGTGTATTGCCGATCAGAAACCCGGCAAGACAACGAGCCCGTGGTGCAGTGGTTTGAGCGTTAGACTTCTAAATAACAAGGTCGCGGGTTCGAAACTCGAGTGGGGCACCAATTTCTGGGGTAAAAATTGGGTCTGGGTATGACTAGCTGACGACTGCTAAAAGGCCAGAAATGGCCATCCTAGTCTCCCTTGTCTTTGTTCTTCTGCCTACATCATTAGCCGCCTTGCGGCGTTGCTCGAGTGTGAACCCAAAAGGCACCAGGGCGAGACGAGCATGTGCTGTAAGTGATTGGCGTACGCCTACCTGCCA